CCCGCTATATGTATCCGGTTGGTATATAAATAAATAGTAAATGGAATACATTTTCATGTCTTTGTTATCTCAGACAAAAATAGTCCACATGATAAAAAAATAAAGAAAAACACGTCAAGAAAAAGGAAACAATAAAACATTCATCAAAAAGCACACAAACAGCTAATCCAATGTTCCAAAAAAAAAAAACTTGATGTATATCTTTTCACTATATGATGCAGTTGATAAAGATTTTACAATTAATTTGTTTGACACATCCAACCGGCACATAAATTTAAACATATTGTTCCTCGGCAAAGCATGAAAATTTGGAACGTTGCTCATGACAAACATTTGACTTGCAGAAGTCCATTTTGAAAATCTCAGGAGGATTCTAAAAGCATCCTGATTGGCTGTTTGCAATTTCCTCACTACTGCTTTACTGTAGTTACACCACAGATGAGCCGTACATAAGGAAGTGCAATAAGCTCAAAAAAGGGACACTTTAACCTCATCTGTACACATGTTAAATTTACGTGCCAACATATTTGCTATAGTATGTCTTTGATCCTTAGTTTGAATTTTTATTCACATTAAAACTAAATAGTTGAGATGTATATTTCTCTTTTTCCTTTCTTTCTTATCTTATATTGAAACAGAAAAATCTGCAGGATGCCTGAAATGTTATTTTATGTAAAGACTTTTCTGTATCAATTTCTACTTTGCTACACCCAGGCACATCCAGGCACGGAGGTGAGGTTAGATGGAGAATGGAGGAGAAGTCCAACTGCTTCCAGCTGTTATTTATTGCTAGATTACTTATTACAAGATGAAAAACAAGAAATAAAACAACTGCATGGCATGAGTTCAGCTTTATGTAATTTTTTATTCAGTTTGAACACTGTAGGAAATCATTAATCTTTGTGCTTTCTGCAGGTGAATCTGTGCTCCTAAACACAAGTGTTTCAGGATATTCCTTTAACATTTTTAAAAGTTTTTTTTTTGTCAGTTATCCAAATCAAAAGTTTTGAACATCAAACATCATTGCTTGGCTTCTTTCTGTTGATCAAAGACAATTGCAGGTTATTAATATACAAGACTGTAAACTCTTAATTGCTGGTTCTGAAATAAAATGCAATAAAAAGTCAGTGAAGGTGACACGTGCACTTACCTTTACTGATAAGAAAAAAGACTTTTATCTCTTCCCATTGAACTTCGGTGACAGAAAAGGGATTCATTCTTCAGCCTCGCAGACTCGACACATGCTTTGATAAGACAACAACACGTTTTAAACGTACAGCATGTTCTCAGAATTGTCTGACAGCTCGCACAGGGCAGCTCTCTCACATTTCTCCAACAGTCTTTTTTACCACACACCTTGCATTCATTCTGTTCATTTTGCCAAATTACCTTGTTAATGACACCAGAGTTGAATAAGTTTAATCCTGAATCCATGAAAGAATGGATATGACCTTCTTTTAGACGAATATCATCTTAAGTAAACAAATGTCAAATATAGCTCTTCTAGTCAAATCTCAAAGTTATATACCATCTCATGCAAAATAACACTATCACATTCTGTTAGCAGAGAGAAAATATGTTGTAAATGACTCTTTGCCACAACCATACCCAATTAGCTCGTTATTTGTAAAAATCCTAAAGTTAACTGTGGTGATTATCTTAAACTGTGTTGACTCTAAACCATGACGGTGAACAATCTTTGTTTTCAGCTCACTTGAAAGTTGTTTTGAGACTCCCATGCTGTGACTCTTCAGTGAAGATGCAAAGAGGAGAAAAACTTACAGTTGCCCCCCTTAAATACCCTTTCTCATATGTAAATGGAGTCACCTGTGTATGGAGATCAAGGGCCACTGAACTTACCAAACCAAATCTGGGTTCCAATAAAGGTTTTGAAATCAATAAAATGACAACAGTGCCCAAATGTATGCACCTGCCTAATTTTATTTAACCAGTTATTGCACAATTTCTGTAAATAATTTAATATAAT